ACCATTGAGGAATCAGACTGATCATGACCCACAAATTGCTTGCCTCTGGCATCCTTCATAGATTGACTGACACTCGTGAAAACCTGATTCGGGAGGAGCAAGTCGGGTTTACTCGACCTCGGGGCTGCATCGACCACCACTTCACCTTGCGTCAATTATTGGAATACCATCCCACATATCGGCGGCACATCGCTGTCGTGTTCCTCGACATCAAAAGTGCCTTCGATTCGGTTGATCGATGTGCCATTTGGAACTGTCTACTCAGGAAATGTGTACCCAAAGAACATAAAAATAAGTAAATAAATAAGCCTTTTATTCCTCAACAGTGCGAGACACAGACCAATTGGGTGGTCGTATCGACATGTACCACATGATCGCGTAATATAGTTAATTTTACATCTTTTGTTCAATGGTTCCCATATGGGTTTTTGAAGTGATAAGCAGCTTGAAAATAGTAGAGAGATAAAGAAACTGGGAACAATAATAAATATAGATTTCACGGAAAGTTCAAGTAAAGTAATACAGTCATCCATGGAACTGTCCCCAGGGGACTTGCTTCCATGCAGGGTATTCCCACGATGGGTTTCACTCGCACTTCCATGCTCCAATTGGCTCTGTGCCTGTGTGGCAAAATAGTAAATAGGTCATCAGAACTGGGTATCAAATTTAAACATTATCCGATTGCTATACGCGCATAGTTCGGGCAGTGTGAGAGATTACGGCAAGCTGTCGCAGCCTTTCAATATCTCCAGCGGTTTGAGACAAGGATGCCCGTTGTCACCTTTCCTCTTCAACTTCGCCATTGACGAATTCATGGAGTTTACATTCACAGCACACGAGTTAGAAGGTGTGGGGCTGCTCCTAGGCAAACGAATAAATAATAATAACATATCAGCTGTACACCGTAACGGCGCTTCGCTACCGTGCGACCACCACCTATCACCGCAAGGGCGCCCACCCCTACACGGATTCAAACCCGCGCCCCAAGATTAAGAGTCAAGCTGGTTACTTCTAGGCGAACGACCTCTTGACTTGGAGTATGCTGACGATACTGCCGTCATCCTTGACAGCTCACAAACGTGCTAAACAGCACTGGACAGATTGCGCTGGCTGGCAACCATTTTGGGTTTTGCTTTGCACCGTCAAGGTGCAAAGTCTTCCTCCAAGATTGGCAGGGACTCTCCTTTGCACTGATCCTTGTTGGGGATTAGCTAGAAGTCGTTCAAAAATCCAGCCATCTGGGAAGTTGTATCAGCACCTGTGGAATCGAAGAGGTGGTCACGAACCGCATAGCAGAAGCTCGAGGCGCTTTTGCTGACCTTCGCTAACTATGGCACCGGCGCAACATCACCCTCATCCTGAAGGGTAGAGTTTACAACGCAGCCGTACATTTGACCCCACTACACGGTTGTGAAACCAAGCCCATTAGATCGACAAACTTAAAAGGAGCTAGTTACGTTCGACCACCGGCGCCTTCACGCTTTCGCTCCTCTCTGGTGGGAACAGCGGGTGAGCAACGAGCGTGTTCGACGCCTTGTTTATGGCTCTGGAAGAGGAAATGAACCACTGCGCACCTTTATTTCACGCAGCAGGCTGCGATAGCTGGGCTACGTGTTGCGCATCTCATCCCACTGGCTCTCACGACGTAAATAGTTTTCACGTCATGGGTGTGAATGAGATAAAAGGAAAGGCGGCCAAGTGATGACTTTGTCAAGAAGAATGATGGCCCTTAGTTCGAAGTTGGCCTCGGTTGGAGCCTCTCGGCTCCCTGGTTGAAGTCCATAAGACCATGAACACATTCCACTGGATACTTTTACTGGCGTGGCCAGGAACCGACCTTAGTGGCATTTGTGTTGTACGTTTCTTTGTCCCTCCCCCTGTCGCTTAAACTCTCCCCAACCACGATCTCATTTCCTAGCGTATGATAAATTTCACATAATATACTTTTTTGTGTACCATACCGGCTGGTAGCTTTCTTAAATGATGCCCATCCGTTACTGGTGGCTCAGCTGGCGTGCCTCGCTTGCATGTTTTTCTTCTTTTTACGTGTTGTGGCTTAATGGCTGGGATGTTCCTCAGCTTTATCTAACGTATATAATGATGCTAGTTATTGCATTTAGTAATCCTGATTCCGCCACAGAATAGGCGCAAGTTAATTTTGATTTCAAACCCCCAGCATTGATCGTCTTCCTTAAACGGACATTTCAAAGTCAATTGCAGCTTCGTTGCTATGAGTGTTCCTCCGACCGCTTTCCTCGTGCCAACTCGAAAATTAAGGACGATGGGTGCCTATTTGCTGTACCGATACTTGTTATCACTGCCCCAAGTTCTACTGTGCGCACTTGTGGATGAACCCAGGTCTTAACGCATGTAGAATGCTTGCGGATGACAACACGTATCAGTTAGCCGATTATTGCGCTGTTTCCCATTACGCCTGTTTAGCTTACATCCCTTTTACTGAGTTTTCATTTGAGTGCGGGTTATCTGGCGTGTCTTATGGGAAAAATGTTTAAAATGTTTAAAATATAAAAATATAAATCTTTAACATATAAAAATATAAAATATAAAGTCTTTAACCGGCTAATTCTTATTCGCTTGTTTGGTCACTTGTTACTTAATACTGTATATTTCTCAGCAAAATGAGTTGCAACTCTCTCGATGAGATCTGATCACTGGGCTATTAGTGATGACACAACGGTGATTCCCCCTACACACTAGATTCAATAAACTTAACTGCCCGCCCGTCGTTCTCTCCGCTAAATGCTATTTGGGTGATGGCTGATCCACCGTTTGGCTTAATTGATTGACCTATATCTTGCGATTCCGCTCCTTCTTTCAGCCATTTTCGAGTGCACATGGTTGACTGAGGTGTTCAGTTGCGATCAGACCATTATGCTGTCTAGTACACCATGTTACACCATCAAGCTTTTGGGCGCTGATGACCTCGTGGTTTTGCCTGGTAGACTGGTCGAATCGAAGTTTTGCGGGTGGTTCACGTTAGTGCAAAACCAGAACAAGAACAGGTAGTACCAGTGCCGATAAGGGTGATCTACTCTGGTATCTGCCCAATCTTTTTTCCTGCAGCTTCATCCTTACCTTTTGAGTAATTCTGCCTTCATTACCGTCGTTAAAATTCACCAGCAATCCACTCAGGTTAAGTGTACCATTCATAAGAGTATGATAAGCTAAGCATAACCAGAGACCTAATGGCCTGCTTGAGATCGATAGCTTCGACCATCGGTCTTAAGTTGTCGCAAAATAACTGACGGCTCAATTCACGATGTCAGACCTCGATGGGCCAATAGTCTTCCGTGGGACGCCATAATGCATAACATTTTGGCGCTTTACAGCCTGATGCTTTCGATTATCGCCTCGTACGGGCAATTTTGTGGCTTCTTAACATGTGCATTTTGAATTAGGTGAGCCGACATCTCCATAAACTTAACTACCTAAATAATTAAAACGGCCCAACTTCTTTTGCTAATCTCCACTATCTTTCATTCTGCTCAAAAGCACTGTGAGGTGTCTGAGGCTGCAGGATACCACCAATTGAATTCGATCAAGTGACTAGTGAGTAGCATTTACTTGGTTTTCTCTAGTGTGACTCTACTCGGTCGAGTAACAGCCACGTGCCTTTTTTTAATGCCGGAATTTTCTACATTTTATCCGCGTTTTACGACTGCAGTTATTTACACTTGTGACTGTCATATAATTTACCAATAAGAACTGAATTTGGGCATGATTTTATTTGGTTCATCGCAATTTGAATACAGGCCGCAAATATGAGCATTCAATCCGGAAAAGCACCGGACGATACTTTAGTCCTATTGGGGCTCGTTAGTGGTGCGTATTCCCTCGGTCCTCTGCTGGATATCGAACCCATGACCGCTAGTGGCTTGGATCTCTCGTACCCGGAACACATCAGTTGTAGTTGATAATGCCCCAGTCTTGCAACAGTATATCGCATGGCTCAATTTTTTGCGGTGGATCGATTTTTCCATCTCAGTCTTATCATTACGGGAAAAGTTCATTCTCGCCGGTCCAAGATCCTTTACTTCTACCAATGAGTGGCTCGTCATTCCACACATTTGATTACATTGTAAAGTGCATCTATGATTACTAATGAGCTGTGGGGATTTGGGTGTAATTTTAGATGTACTTCGTCGCAGTCCCCTCTCGGTCTAGCAGGCTCGCACACGTCTAGGCAAGCACCAAACAGCTGCTTCGACCTTCTGCATCTCGTCAGCGGTACGCGTTCTTCGGACTCTTGCCGGGTCCACCCATCATGGCTTCCGGATGCCAGCAGCTTGTGCTACTAAGCTGTGGGAGACGAAGCGGACCCGCATGATTGACAGTTGGCTACGATATAGCGTGGCTCATCCTCCACTGCCATACCAATTACGAACTGTCCAGAGGACATGGACATCCAGAGCTACATGGATGAGCCGCGCTAGATCGAAGTCAACTATCAGCCCTGCAAGTCTGCCCCATCACCCATGACTTAGTGGCACAAGCTGCTGGCATCGGAAGCCGTGGGGTCGGAACCCGGCAGCGGTCCAAGGAACTCGCACTACTGACGAGACCCAGAAGTTAGAGACAACAGTCTAATGCTATTCCGGATGTGTGCAAGCCTACTTGACTGAGAAGGGACTGCAACAAACTGCATCATAAAAACTGCATTTATAACTATCACCGTCAATACTATCCTGCGTAGGGTGACTGAATTAGGAGATCCGGTTTCCATCAAATGCGAGGTGCGTGAAGATATGTCTACCTGCTTTCTACACTACCTGTGTCGATTTTAACCGATATTCGTTTAATCCTAAAATGACTGCATTTATTGTGCGCTGTACTTCTCACTTTTCCAACGCAGCTTGCACCAGTGTTGTTACTTATGTCGGGCCATTACGTCTCTGCTTCCTATATTGTATTAATATACTGATATAATATAATAATATTATACTAATATATTATATTGCACTTATATTTCCATCCCTCAGACTCGTCTACCTGTGTATATAGCACACACGCCTGCTGGAACGTCAACCAAAAACATGGTACACTACTGCCAGGCAAGTAATTCTCCCTTCTTACACCCTTAAAATCAGAGCTGTGAACCAGCTCCCTCCGACGCGTTTCTTTCACCTTGCGGTTCCAGTTAACACAAATGTTCGGATAGCACTACCTATCACTCGCAATGTGACACTTGTGACTGTGCTCTACTTTCTGGACTTAATGATGTTCGCTTGCCTTCATGCTGTGCGATCAACGATGGGTCCTCTTAGATAGCTTGATTAGAACAACGTTCTCCGCAACCTAACCGGACATATATGTTGCATGCGCCGTTCACTTCTCAATATTTGTTTTGCATTACTGAATACCATGATCTTTTAAAATGGTGCTCATCTGACAGCTCAAGCTCAAAGTAGTTCACACCTGCTCATATCTACCGTACTTGGTGAGTGAATCCAAGGCTTATGAGGAATTATGAATATCGTACGTGTTTATGACGTTTCATTTTCGCTTTTCGAACTCGTCTTATTCCGCGCAAGTCTTCGGATGCCTCTTAAACACACAGGCTTACCAGGCGGGTTGGCATGTTTTGGAATCACACCAGTACTTGCATATTTGATAAAGTTCTAGCGCATTCTGTGCGACGATAGGAGTAAGATGTGATGTCATCCCGTTCAACAAGCTATGTCGCTTTACTACGTTGAGCCTTCAAATGTGGTCTTGGAATACGGCCACGGTGATGGTGAGCTTACTAGCAGTACCCACAAGCCCGCTTTGTCTTTTAGTACAAACACGTCTCAACTTGTCTCATTTTTATGGATCTAATTGAGCGTTTGCCGCACGGTTGTCAACTTCACTTCTTTTGCTGCCTGCTCTCATCTGTCGACCTGTGGCTGGACGATGCTTGATAGCAAGGAAACTGCTATCTGCGTTTTTGTTGCAGAACCACACCTTAAGTACATTTCCCTGTGGTCCGGTCACCATATTGTGGGCCAGTAGCCTCATTCTTTTACACCGCGCTCATGCGAATGAGTATGTCCCGTTTGTGTCAACCATACTGCATGGGTGCTGACCAACTCGTCTCTATGATGATTGCTCCTATGATGAATAGCCTTAATATCCACGTTTCTCGAGTGCATGAAGCGTATTCTTGACAGACATACTGTCTGTCTAATTCACTGCCCAAAAACCGCTCTGAACAGATAAGTGTATACTGGTGTAGGAGATGGGGTGGTCTATAAAATTATTGGGTCCCTATTTACACTCTTTTTATTGTTCATTCGGACTCGCAGCGGATATATATATATATATATATATATATATATATATATATATATATATATCACAATCTGTGATGCAGATATTGTGTCATCAGAATCACGGCGGAAAACGAAAACAGGAGACGAATAGGATGAAAAAGAATATGAACTTTTTTCCAGTAATTTTTTACTCACAGTAGTTGAGTTCTTTTTAATTGTTTGTTTATTGGGGGAAGTGGAATCACCGCAACACGCAGACATACACGTCTGCCATTGACGTCTATCCTAAGCCATGACTTCTAGGGTCTCCAACCAGTGACACTCTGTATCTTTGTAATCCAAACCGGGGAGTCGAGAACAAGCGACCGAGGCCAAATGTTTCGTCAGCTTTTTCATGCGGCTTCTTCATGTTGTAGGTTGACCACCGCGCCGTCTCCTCCAGTCCTGTACAGCAACCGCGAACAACGCCCGACTCTGAAGATGATGAGCGGACATGGGCAATGGTTGTCCAAGCCACCCCAGCTGACGCAGCTGGACGAGCTCCTCAATTGAGTGGCTGCCTCCACCCAAGACACGCTGGCTAACTTCAACATTGGTTACGTGGTGCAACCATCACACACGGGCAATGGACCGCAAGCAACGGTGGTCAACTACAGAGAGACGTCTCAGGTCAACGATAGCAACAGGCCAACTTTTGCAACCGTACAACAGTGCAGCGCGGACAGTCGCACAATAAACCCGCCCTTTGATGGATAGACGGATGTCATGGTGGCACCACAAGTGCCTCAGCTTAGAGAAAGCGAGGCGAGCTCTTGAGGTACGCATCGAAAGCTCTTCTCCAACAGCTCCACCGGCTGTGATGCAACTACCAAGGTAGGCAAAACTCTCTATAACCTCCAGCGTCTTATCACTAAGGATGAGTGCAGTGAAAGTGTTAAAAAGAGCTTTGCACTTGGTTGGGGAAAAAGCCATCCCATACTTTGACATTTCAATCGCCAAGCGGTTGAGCGCAAGTTGAACCACCTGTGGACCGTCACTCAGCAAGACGATATCATCAGCGTAGTCCAAGTCAACAACTCGGCTACCTGAGGGGAGCTCAACGCCAGCGCTCAACGAATTTTCCAGAGCATTCTTTAGGGCATCCTCAATGGCAAAATCATCATCATCATACACGTTAGCTAGAGGTGGGAAACACAGCTTCTGTGCCGCAATACATAGAAAAAAAGAAAAAATAAGCAACTGGTGCAAGCCGGCTGAGCTACCGGTAACGGATGGGCATCGTTCCGATAAGCTACCAGCCGGCTACTATGCAAAATTATATAAGGCTAGATAATGAGATCTTGGTTGGAGGGGGGTGCGGCACAATAGCGGAGGTGTTACGGCACAATAGCGGAGGTGTCTTCCCACCTCTAGCTGATGTGTATAATGATGATGATGATGATGATGGTTGGAGGGTGAGGCTAAGAGGGATGGGGTGGGACAAAGAAACTCACAGCACGAACGCCACTGAGGTCGGCTCCTAGCCATATCAGCAAGTGTGTCCAACCAAACGTGTTCATCGTCTTTCGAACCCCAACCAGGGAGCCGAGACGTTCCAACCGAGGCCAGCTCAGAAGTGAGGGCCTTCATTCCTCTGGACCAAGTCATCGCTTGTCCACCCCTCCTCTTCTTCCATCCACACCCCCGGTGCGCAAACAACGTACGTCGCGGAAGTCGGTGGGCTGGCATGCGTAACACGTGGCCGAGCCATCGGAGTCTGGTGCGTGAAATAACGGTGCTGAGCGGTTCAGTTCCATTTCTTGTGCCATAAACAAGGCGTCGAACACGCTCGTTGCTCACGCGGTGTTCCCACCAGATGTGATCTAAATTGCAAAGGCACCGGTGGTCGAACGTCCGCTGCTTTAAGCGGCCAGGTTTCACAACCGTACTGAAGGGTCGAACGTACTGCTGCATTGTACACTCTACCCTTCAGGGCAAGAGTGATATCGCGCCGGCGCCATAGGAGGCGAAGGTTAGCAAAAGCGCCGGAGCTTTTGCTATACGATTCGTGATCTCATCTTCAATCCCACGGGCGCTGACACAACTTCCCAGGTAGTTGAATTTCCGAACGACTTCTAGTTGATCCCACCAAGGGTCAGCATAGGAGGCGGTCCAGGCCAATCTTGGAAGAATGCTTTGCACTTCGACGGTGCGAAGCAAAGCCCGAAGTGACGGACAGCTAGTGCTAATCTGTCCAGTGCCGCTTGGCACGTTTGTGAGCTGTCACAGATTAAGGCAATATCATCAGCATACTCTAAGTCAAGAAGTCGTTCTCCTGGGAGTAGCTCCACACCTTCTAAGTCGTGTCCTGTGAACGCGATTTCCATGACTTCGTCAACAGCGAAGTTACAGAGGAAAGGTGACAGCGGGCATCCTTGTCTCACACCGCTGGAGATATTAAAGGACGACGACTACTTGCCGTAAGTCCTCACTCTGCCCAAGCTACGCGCATATAATGCTCGGATAATATTCACATATTTCTCGGGCACACCTTTCCTGAGTAGACAGTCTCAAAGTGCATGTCTATCCACCGAATCGAATGCACCTTTGATATCGAGGAACACGACAACGGTGGGCCGCCAATATGTATGACGGTGCTCCAACAACTGATGCAAGTTGAAGATGTGGTCAATGCAGCCACGACCTCGACGAAATCCAGTTTTCTCTGCACGAATCTGGCTTTCACGAGTGCCAGTCATTCTGTGAAGGATGACAGAGGCAAGCAATTTAGAGGCGATGGAGATCAGACTGATTCCTCTATGGCTGCCGCATTCTGATTGTGATCCTCCTTTGAAAATTGGTACTGTGACGGAGCGGCTCCAATCGGTTGGGACAGTTTCCTTCTCCCACAGTTTGACTAGTAACTCGTGTAAATCATCCACAAGAGCAGGTCCCCCGAATTTAAAGAGGGCAGGCAATGGCAAAATTGAAAAGGAATGAGGTGATATGGCATTCTTGTCGAACTCCCCCTAGTGACAACGAAGGAAGGTGAAAGCTTTCCATAAGCCCTAACATAGCACACAGTATGGAAACGAACTTCCCGGGGACCCTATTCCTCAACAAACAGTGCCACAATGTAGTCCTGTCCAGAGAATCGAAGGCTGTGCGGATATCCAGGGACACGACAGTTTTTGGTTTTTGGTACACATGACGGTTCTCGAGGATCTGGCTCAGTGTGAAGATTTGATCGATGCAGCCGCGGCCAGAGCGGAACCCAGCCCATTCTTCCCGCTTTAGCAATTCGCGCATTGGATATAGCCTTCGAAGTATGACGGACACCAGAGCCTTACAAACGACGGGAACCAAGCTGATACCCCTGTAGTTGGAGCACATTGTGCGCAGGCCCTTTTTGAAGATGGGGACGACTATCGACTCACCCCAAGATGATGGAACCTCCTCTTTCAGCCAGACTTCTGAGAACAAAGCAGTGCGTTCTCAAAACAGCGAATAACCGCCAACTTTAAATAGAGCGGGAGGTAAGCCATCAGGGCCCGGTGCTTTATAGCTCTGCAAGAAGCGGAGTTCCTGCCAGATTTCTTGGTGAGGAGGATCTGTGGGGACAAATCACTCAGCACAAGTGAGCGCTCCAGGGGTAGCAGATGGAGCTGGTGGTCATCAAAACTGCGAGCTAAGGTGTTCAGCCCATCGTTCCAACCTTCGATGAAGATTACTTGACCATCCTCTTCGCAGATCGTTTCATTTACTCCAGATCGGCAACCTTCGGTGACTCATAAGATGTAAAAGTCTTCTGGTATTACCAGAAAGACTAGCAAGTTCTATCTCTCTAGCAC